GCCATTTTCAAGAACCTCTTCTCCATCTCATTTGGTGTTCTTCAAGATGTCTTCCTGTTTCATAGTTTCCCTCCTGGACGCTGCTTTGACGCACCTGTTCATCATCAATCGTGGGAGTGATCCGAGGCTCATTGCAGCCTGCGCGTCTTTGTGCCTGAGCTGTTGGATGCTGTTGGACGCAGTATTATGGTAGCAGTGGTTCTGTTAGGGGAACACTGTTCTGTAGCAAGCAAAAATGAAGATCTAGCATCATGTTCGCAGAAGTTTCAGGTCATGTGTTGGTTTTGGTAGAGGGTTTGGATTGTAATTGATTTGTGAGGCTTGTCTCAGACCCCGGGGACCACCTTCAAGAGACAGCAACGATGAACATACGGTGGGCAACCAAACGAGGCCACGTATGCAGCGTCACAAATTGCCTCTCAAGGGCTTTTGCCAAACAGCCTTGAGCTATGTCCAAAAGATCTGAGTTGTCAGTGCGTGAGTATGACCACAGCATGGGTGGTAGGAGGGTGAGTAACGTGGGTTTTCCGTGTGATTGTTCTGTGATTCTCTTTGGAGATCAATTTCTTTGTTTGTTCTTCCTGAATGCGTAGCGAAGGGTTGTTGTTTAACTTTGCGAGTGACAGGGACATCGAGCGTTGTTGGTGGGATGTTGCTTTCATGTCCGCAAAACATCGCGTGTTTGTGGTTGTGTGTTTGTGGCTGTGTTTGTTGTTATGTTTGTGGTTGTTTGTGGTTATGTGTTTGTAATTGTGTGTTTGTGGTTGTGCTGTGGTTAAGGTCCGCCAGGGAACACGGGGCGCGACTTTCCAAACCAATGCCATTTGGGTTTCAAGCTGCCTGTGCCATATAGCCATGTCAGCTGCAGACGAAGGATGGGTCACAGTAAGCCGGGAAGACTAAAGCAGCCACTGGAACCTCCGGGCCAAGCAGTGGCTACTGCCCAGGCCAGCTTCCACCAACACAGAGCCAGCGCAGGATCTAGCAACTGCCACTGGCGCCGAACAACCAGCGCAGGATTGCAGAAGCCGATTTGACGTTGGCTGGAGTGCATTTGGCCTGAAGATTCCAACTGGGGACGTATGCTCCTAGGTTGCGAGAGAAGGCCATTGTGACTGCTCGACCTTGATGTGAACATCATACCTGCGACTGGCGAGGCAGCAAAGCCCAAGCCATTCTTGCGCTGCTCCATTTGCGGCTTCGTCGTCCGTGGTGTGGATGGTCGTGGTTGAGGTTCGGCAGGGAACACTGGGCGTGGATGGTCGTGGTTGAGGCCCGGCAGGGAACACTAGGTGTGGATGGTCGTGGTTGAGGTCCGGCAGTGCATGAACACGGAGCGTGGATGGTCGTGGTTGAGGTCCGGGAGGGAACACTGGGCGTGGATGGTCGTGGTTGAGGCCTGGCAGGGAACACTGGGTGTGGATGGTCGTGGTTGAGGTAGGAGGAGGAGGAGGGGGAGAAGGAGGAGGAGGAGGAGATGAGGCTGACATAAAATCTCACAACCCTTATCTGACAGGTGGGGAACAATGATTGTAAACGGCAACAGTAACATAACAACAGGGAAGTAAACTTGGATATTTTTCCTAGGGTGAGTTTACTGGTTACTCCCACCCACTAACTATTTTCAGGGTGTGGCAGTTCTGACGGCTGTTCGACGTGCAAAGAAAGGGTTGGTTCTGTTGGTTCTAGGGAAAGGCACGTTTCTCCGTGATACAGGCAAATCCGTTCTAGTCAATTGTGCAGAAGCTGTTGTGAGGAATTGGAAGTGGGCTTGAATCGATTCAGTGATAGGGTCACATGCAAAAACAGCCGAGTAAGTGGCAAAACGACCCCCCAACACAGCCACCTGTAGTTTTTCCCCGCGCGTGCCGTAGGTTGTTCTGTTTTGCAATTCTGACCAGGGACCCCGGACTCGCTGGACCGCCCGATGCATCGGGAAAGTGACGCTGCGAGGCGCTACTCACAAAAAACATCTGCAGCTTCACTCTGCAGCCACTCAGCTGAGAATCTCAATGTGAAAGTTCGGGGTATTGAAATGAGGGTTTTTGAAGTAATGAAATTGTTGACTATTGGAACAATTTAGATTGTAACATCTCGTCGTATGTTTGGGGCACCTTCGAACAAAAACTTTGGAATTGACAACAATTTGATCCCAAAAGACATCAGAGATGTTTGGTGTAGGTTTTGCTAGATGTTTGTTGAATGTAATTATTGGCACCAAATAGTCAAGACAATGAACTAAGAATCAGGACGCCTCCGGCAGGGTGGAAATGGGGTAGGCACGATCCCCCCCCCGCCTCCGTTGAGTTTTGGAATGGGTTTTTTTAGTGCGTTCGAATACCATTGCCCCGCGGCCCAGCATCTCGCACCCTTCAAAAAGGGCGAAGATGGTGACTACTAGGAGGAGACTCTGGGAACGACTGCTGGTACTTCGGAGGATTCGCAGCGACCAGGAACGATATCATCGTTCCGCCGGGTCGGTCGGTACCGAGCTGAGAGGCCACCGAGTGGGCTGGATGTAACACACCTGGCTGTATGTGACCGGCGAACAAATCATCTGACGCGTCATGATTTTAGGATATTTGATATTTTAGTTGATGTTTAGTAGGTTTTTTTTTCCGTAAGGTTTGCCGTAAGGATGTGCAGCCTTGAACAGGCTGAAAGGTTCCCAGAAGTGGAACTTGTTTACTTTTACTTTCATGACAGCTGGGCCCAAACATATTGAACAGCGCACCCTTGTAACCACAGTGGACTTGCATACTTCTGCCGTAAGCGCAGCGCAAAAAAAACCTTGCATACATCTGCACAAATTATAGCGAGGACAAACGAGGCAACGAGGTGGCTTAGGGAGAATTAACGAGGACAATCTTAATTTCGTTCCATGAATTAAGAAACTGACGAGGTAGCCTCGGATGGTTCCGGTTCAAGTTG